GCATTATATAAAGGTACAATTCCCAATGAGAAATGTAATTGTGTTGTATACCTACAATGTACCAATAAAAGAATTTAATACAAAAAAAATTCATTTTATTTTCTTTCCTTTTGTATTTTGTTTAATACCCCAAGTCTGAGAAAAACTTAAACTATTATAATTCTTCATTTCAAAATACAACTACACGATATATAATGAAAACAAAATGCTAATTTGAACTCAGCCTTTACCATTTCTAATAAGCTGAAAATGGTACTAAAGCAAGGGCTCTTAATTCAGTTACAGACTTAGCATCACTGTGCTCAGATAACTGAAATTTCCCTGACTCTGTGCATATTGAATTGTTGCATATGTCATCCATTCTCCCAAGGAATTATGGATTACCTTGCACAAAGTAGCAAACTGTTGGTTATTTCCTGCTCCAACCACAAGATGGCCATCCTTGGTTTTAAAAGCCTAAAAAACAAAAGAAAAAAAATACAAGTGTAAATGTATGTTTGTATATTGAAAAGATCATGAAGAAGTTGGCTTTAATTTCTAAGACATATACATGGAAAGCTTGTTCTAAAGAAATGTTATTAATTAATTCAATAGCAATTAATTAGTATCTTTTTTTCATACATTTGTATATTTTTTTCATTTAGGATTTTCAAAGTATTTCCTAGTTTTTCTGGTAACTTGAAAAACATACTCAAAAAATTAATAGAAATAGTACCATTTATTATAACTCATAATGTGAAATTCTGTATTCATTATAGTATGAATTAATACAAAATTTTTCAAATTTTTGTGTTTTGTTTCCAATTTTCCTTGTGAGGCAAAAAGTGTGGTTTTCTACAAAGTGTAAGAATAGAAACAAGGAAATGATGAAAGAAAGGAGGGAAGCAAAGAAAGAGGAAGGAAGAAAGGAAGGGTAGGTAAGTGAGCTATTGGAGCTACATTTCTTTTTGAAGATCCCAGATGTAAACCTCTAGACTTCACCTGCTTTGTGTACCTGAAAATCCTTCTGCCTTTTGGAGACAAGTTCACTAGATAGCAGTAGCCCTGTAAGTGCCTGAAGTCTCCACCACCCCCAGCCCTAGGCCACTTGGGATCTTTTCCACTTTCCTCTCTCCATGTATGATCACGATGCAGGTGCAAGAACCAAACTGTTCTCGGACAGCCTCATTCCTACCTCCCCAAAGTAAATCAGCTCTTTGACTTTCCTGTCTTTTTATGTGAAACTTGCTTTGTATCTTCACCTTCTTCTTTACTTGCTCCTGCCTCGAGAAAAATGACTTCTGTCTCCCATGGCAACGGTGACTCCCGCGCTAATGACCTAGGTGCTACCGCCATCCATATCCTCCAGAACTTGCTCAATCATTTTTAGTTTCTTAATTGCACTAACTCCATCCCTTCTGCTGAGGTGTACGCTCAAGCCTTCACTGAAAATATCATTAACAACAAAAAATTTTCATCAATTGTTGACATACTTTTCAAGCTGTCTCGAATTTTTCTTCCTTCCCTCTACCTCTAAGTGACATAAAACTGGCACCTACCCACACTCACTCAGGAGTACCACTTCGCAATGGCCTCTGTCTTCATGAGTTTTCTCCTATTACTGTGCTGAAGCTAAACTTGCTTTGACTCCTCTGCATTAACTGTTATTGTTAACCATCGCTCTCTCAGGATACTGAATTATCTCTAGGCTGTTTCTATTCATCTCCTATCTCTCTGACCTGTTCTCCATATGCCCCTTCTGAAGAGTTATTTTTTCCCTTGGCCACAGCATTCCTTAAGCATCTGTCTTTCATCTTTTCACTTCACTTGTTTCCTATGGTATTACTAGCCTCATGTGGCTGTTAAATTTACATTAATGAAAATTAAATTAGCCAATCACAAAAAGGCCATATATTGTGACTTTATTCATATGAAAAACCCAAAATAGATAAATCAATGGAGACAGAACAAAAACGATAGTGGCTGCACAGGACTGGGGAAGTGGAGGAGAAATGGGGTGCAGGTGCTAATGAGTACCAGGTTTCTTGTTAGGGTAATAAAAATGTTGAAAAATTGATTATGGTGATGGTTGCACAACCATATACACTAGAAAGCACTGAATTACACCTTTTAAATGATGGAATTATATGGCATGTGACTTCTATCTCAATAAAATTATTTTTAAAATTAACAATTTATATCCATAGAAACATAGGTATGTGTCAATCATTGAATAGCAACATGTGACTGGCAGCTACTGTATTGTACAGCATGTATGTGAGCATTTCCCTCACCATAGAAAGTTCTCTTGTACAGTCCTGGGAGACTGTATTTGTTTTCTCTCCTAGTATTCCTACCAGGTCTAACATGATATTTGAAAAACATTAGGCAATTAATAAATGATTGATACATGCTAAGCAATCAGTCAAATGATTACTTCCAATAACAAAATCGAGCCTAAAATAATCTCATGTAAAAACTATAACAAAGTTTTGTTCTATTTTCATTGTTGCTTGATTTGAGAGGAATGCTATTAAGAGAAGATCATGTGAACTATTTTAAGCTTTTTCCCTTGTTCACAGGGCAAAAGAAAAGTTAGTGTGATAAATAAATGCATCCAGGTTTCTTAAACTATAGAAAGGGAATCTGCAACAGAACTGTAGGTGAGCTACAAAGGATTTTGAGTTTGGTGTCTCAATGAGCCACTGACAACTATAAAGGAGAACAGAAGCTTTGTTTGCTTTTTTATGGGGATGAGAGGGGTGTGAATAAATGTGAAGTAACCACACATGTCAACAAGTATAATCCAAAGAAAAGTCTTCAACATTATGGATCAGTGACCTGTTCAACATGTTAATGTTTTGTGGATGGATCATTTCCTATTAATAAATGAATAATATCTGTTTATTCCTTCAGACTCCACCTTATCATAAAACATATCTTGACCAATATATCAATTTAAATTTTTTAATGTAGAGATAACTAATTAATGACCACAAATCAGGAAGTAAAGACGACAGCAGGTGAGCCACCAGAATAGAATCAGACTAAAGATCACCAAATAGATTTTATAAAGATTAAGATAAGATCATGAGGTTTTATAATAAATATAGCTTAAATGAGAACTTTTTAAAAAATATCTTATTGATATAGAAAATTGAGCAAATACACAAAATACTAGGGAGAAATAAAATACCCATGATATCATCACCCAGAGGAATAGCTTAGTCAGTTACTTCTTTCTACTTTCTTTGCATTTGCTTTTGCATCCTTGTTATCTTAATGTACATAAATTTCTAGTCTGCTTTTTTCATTTAACATTGTCATACATATTTAAATGTCATTATCTTAATGACCAAAAATATCTGTTTCAAAATGTTTTCACATTCTCAGTTTGTTTAAAATGAGAGGTATTTTTGTGTCATTGTATTTTGTTTCAATTAAGCCCTACATGATATGATTAACATCACAAATAAGAAATTATTTAACTTGATAGTAAAATTCTGAAAAAACAAATGCTTAGTCTAATTAAGATCCTTTAAAACACATCCGTATAAAACAATATAATATAAATGAAATAGAAAAATGATTCCCCAGGGCCGGAGATTTAGCTCAGTGGTTCTGGCGCCTGTGGTGCAAGTGCAAGGTCCCAAGTTCAATCCCCAGTACCAAAAAAAAAAATGATTCTCATGATGAATTTTAATCATAATGTATACCTAAAATGTAGCAAGAAACTTAACAGAACAAAAAAAAAAGAAAAATGATTCCCAGGTTGGCCATTTACTTAACCTGTGTGGTATTAGGCAAGTGACTTAATTTTAAAGCCTCAAATCTTACCTTTATAAAATAGGAATGAGTACTTACTTTTAGAATTATTACAATGGCCAAATTCACTAAAGTACAGTTATTCCCATTTTGGCAAATACCTATTAACATCCTTTACTATGTGCCAGATACTGGGTACAATGGGCAGACAATGAGAAGCTAAATAGCTATCCTTCACATAAGACTTGCATCCTAACAAAGTGGTAGACATTAATCAAACATTCACACAAATAATTACAAACACTAACACGTGTTAGAAAGGAAAAGTACACAATTCAAAATGAGATCTTATGGTTGAGGGCTGAGAAATCAGAAAAGATAACCTAGAAAAGTAATCTCTAAACTGAGATCTAAGATTGTAGGCATTACCTAAAAAGTTGAGGGAAATAAGTCATTGCTGACAAAAGGACTTCATGTGCAAAGGACCTGTGGCAGGAAGAAGCAATAAAACATAAGAGAATAAGCAGAATAAAAACATAACAGAGGTGGCAAAAGTAGGCAGGGAGCCAGATGAAGTCAAAGGCTGTATGAAATATGTTATCTATTATAAAACTAATGGGAAGTCAGTAAAAGAACATGAATGATCATATTTGCATTTTTTTAAAAAAACTCTCTGGTTGTATTGTAACAACTGATTGGAGGATAAGATTAGAAATGAGAAGATCAAGAGCCTGTTGTGATCATCATGGAAAAGGATGATGTCGTCTTAGAAGCAGGGTCTTGATGACAGAGATGGAAGGAAATAGGTTCAATAAATATTTAAGTGGCAAAATCTACTGGAATTTGTAATGGATTGAATATGATGGTGAAGAGTTGAAGGCTATGAGAGGTAAGTGCCATAAATGATACATAGATCTCTTTGAGATATTCCAGTGGAAATTTCACATGAGTAGTGCTTGGGGGCCAAATGAAAGTCTGAACTGCAGATAAAAACTTGACAACCATTTGCTGAACAGACTGAAGAATACCTACAAAGTGGGTCTTTGTTTACTTTAGCAAGAGCTGTTGTAGCGCCATGACAACAGAATGTAGTTTGGGGGATAAAGGACTAATCATTAAGGAAATAGAGCATGTGCAAAGATCTGACTGAGAAGTCTGGTTGTAAAGAGAAGAAATAAGAAAGGACTGAGCATAGCACAGCATGGATGTGGAGGCAGGTCTTATGTGGGTTGGGCATTGGGAAGTTGAGGAAGTGGATGCTTCTACTTTTTTATGAAGTAACAGGTAAAGGGAGGTAGGTAGAGAAAATCCTAGAAGACTAAAAGGAGTCTAACACATTGCTAAAGACAGTGGAAGAGCAGACTGACTACAGAACTCATCAGAATGCTGATGCATTAAGAGATCAGTTGTCTACTTCAAAAACAAGAGCACCAACTCCAAGCCTTCCTGGAGCTAGTTTTTTAATAATATTTTCTTCCACAAAAGGTAACCATTGCTAAAGGGTTTTATCACCCACTGGAAAAAGGCATTCCACGGAGTTTAACTCACTGCTATGAGAATGTTTTCTGGAATCTCAAGCAGTTGACTTCTGGCTCTGTGCTAGTACATTGTGACAAATATAGAGCATTATTTCCTACCACTAATAGTTCAGGTCACCTTATGGTGCTGGAGCAGGGCTGGGCCAGATGGCAATGAGGGACAGGCTGCTTACA